CTAAAGCTGGGTTTTTATTATGGTTTGAGCAAGGAACGGGACTTACAGGTACATGATTGGTTCACATTTAGCAGAAGCAAGCTTGTCATAAAGTGATTGTTTGGTGCTGATCTAGGGAGTTGGGCGGTACTTCATGCAGTGTCCGAGGAACAAGGTGTGCCAGGTAACAAAGCATGCTAACAAAAAGTGCCCAGGTAACAATTTCATTTTGACTAGTTAAGCAAAGGTTTCTAACTAACCTTTAATTTGATTGGTCAAGTACTTGGGGACTTTTCATGGCAGTTACTAGATTATTGTTTCTGATTTTCCTGGAGGTTATTGAGTTATTGCATCTCATTTCCATGGACTATAGTTTTGTGTTCTGAGAAATAGAAACGTGATCTAAGCAACTGTGGGAACATTACCAGGAAACAGAAACTCAGGCCTACAGGATCTTATGAAGCCTGTCATGGCAGCACAGCTGCAGCAGCACGGCAGCTTGGACTCTTCATATATGCATACACACACATATATATGAAGGATTGCAAAGGAGAAGAGAACTTAATTAAAAGGAAACTGTTTACAGAGTGTATAAGAAAATCACATTCAACACTGAGATTTTCCTGTCTAAAAGGGCATACAGACCAATGGTCTGTAGCAGTAGGAAACAAATCCATGTCCCTTTTTCCAAAAGTCAAATGTATACCCAGTTGTCATTTTCTCTGTGCCATATTTATAGCAATTCATTATGTGGTTATACATATGGCTAGACACTAAAGTAGCAGTTTTCAAAAACTTGTGCACCTAGTACTATTAAATAAGAGAGGGAATTTGAAGCAGCATCATCATACTGAACCGTATAGAGACGTGTGTCTCTTGAGTCATGTGTAAGCACCCATAATTAGATGTTAGGCTATTCAAGAGCAGACTTCAGCCGGTTGCGAACACTTTAAGTCTCTACATGTGTTTAGTTTGTAGAAAATATTCGACAGATGAAAGTAAATACTAATTAACTTATGATTGATCTGCCTGTAGCAATTTGGAATGCGCCTCACTGAAAGATAATGATCTGTCTTCGTTATCCTCCTGGCTTGTCTTCAGACTTCTGCTTTCTCTCAGGGATTATGCCTCTGGCAAGCTTGACTTTTACCAAAAGGAAAGAAAGGGAGAATTTGATCAGGGATGCTAGGAGCATCACTACTTTGAGAGAAAGAACAGTATTGAAGGCGACAGACTGTTTACTCTAGTCTCCCTTGATCTGATGAGATAAAGCACCCCTGCACACAAGAGATTACCTCCTGAGGTACAGACAAGATAGAGTCAAAGTTCCAAATTCATGTGCTTGGTTTACCAGCATTGACCCTGTCCCAAACAGCCATGTGTATAGTGAAGACTGGGGGGTTTTATGTTAGGGTCCAAGCAGAGTTTGAACTTGGACAGTGTCATGCCGGTTGTCCTTTCCCTAATAGGATTAGGGAGAAAAAAAAGTGCACCTTGCTTTCTGCAGACTGTCAGGGAGGGTTAACGTCACTTTCCTAGACACAGACACAGAAGAATGTAGTTCATTCAGTATTATTTAGCAGATAGATGAGGTTTCCGGCAGATTCCTGAATTGAGAAACCCAGTTGTTGAAAATAACTTTCAAAGTAAAACATGATTTAGTAAATTAAAATTTGTCAGTCTAATGAAACTCAGCATATACATCATGAATGTTTAATGCACAAGATTTTAAAAGACAACAGTTTGGAGGAACCCCAAAACTCTGTTTAACTCCGTTTCAGTGCCATGGTTCCATATTACAGAATCATTGTTTTGCTGCTGCAGATCTCCATGTAAAGACAGAGAACTAGGAGCCTCCTAAATTGGTCATTTCAACAAATACTTATTCAGCACCCATCCATCCATGAATGGCCCTGCCAAATATAAGCCTCATTTTCTTAAGTCCTGGAAAAGGTAACTGAAGGAGATCCTTTCAATGTAAGGGCTTAGAAGAGGAGGGAAGAAAAGAAGAGGACAGACTCTGGAAAGGGAACATCATCCTTCTTCCCAGCATCCCATAGCACTTGCTTCTCCAGCTGTTAGAAAGTGTCTGAAGCTGATGTAGCCCATAGACTCAGTCTCCAAGAGGGTTCCCTAGTAAGGGGAGCAGGGGCTTTCTCTTGTATGAACTCAGTGGCTGGCTCTCTGATCACCAATCCATGGGGGAGTGCAGCTTTACCAGGCCACAGAGGAAGACAATGCAGCCAGTTCTGATGATACCTGATAGGCTGGGGTCAGATAGAAGGGGAGGAGGACCTCTCCTATCAGTGGACATGGGGAGAGGCATAGGAGGAGGAGAGGAAGGGAAGGTGAGACTGGGAGGAGATGAGGCAAGGGGCCACAGCCAGGATACAAGCAAATAAATTGTAATAAATAATAATAAATTGAAAAAAAAACAAAATAAAAAAAGATAGTGTCTGAAGCTGCCTTCACATCCATTCAATGCATTTCCTACTTAGCATCTTCTCTCTCCTCAAGATAGCTGTGGCCACCTTTCTCTAGCAGCTGTGCAATCTCAATTCCACAGCTAGTGACTTCTGAAATATTTTTCTCAGTTGGAGAATTTTAAATTAGGTTTGGAGAGCAAAGAATAGGAGAGAAATGAAGCTATAATAAAGTGACCTCCCTGTGGTGTTTTCAGAGCTCAGTAATTCCCAGGAACCGCTGGTTCAATGTTGCCAACAGGTGCCTTTAGTTAAAGTGCTTGTTTTCTATTTCCCTGACACTGGGCTAACTGTCCATTTTGTCCTGACAAAGGTAGACCCCAGCAGGCTTCTTCCTCCTTTCTGTTCTTACAAACCTTAGGAAGGTTTTATGGCCTCTTCTGCCTGTCCCTGTGGGACTATTTAGAGAACTGAAGATCTTGGGCACAGTTTCCAATTGAGTTTGACTTAGGCATTGCCATTCTCTGCTAGAGGTGCTTCTGCCATTAGAAAGTCCTTCAAATATTCACAGATGGATTGCTGAGCTTGTCTGGAAAAGCCTAAGTATCAGGGCAGCACATCACTTTCTTCCCCCAAATAATCTACAGAGGATAAGTTGGCATCATTTTCTGCCAAGTTTGTCCTACTCAAGCACAGCTTGGTCAGTTGACTTCCTGGAAGGAAGCCATGCCTTTTGAGACTATATTGAAGTTTGCAATATAGACAAATAGTTCTTGTTCTATTGCCTCAAGAAGTAAGTTTGCCGTTGTTTTGATACGTGTGCCAAGTTCTGGATTATGATGTTTTGTGTGAGTGGAAATTATTCCCTATAATTCTAGGATTTCACGAATTCTGTAGACAAAAGAAAAGAATCAAGTTTAAACTTTGAAAGTTTTGTAGTCTTTAAGGAGAAGCATTTTATCATGAAAGCACCTGCATAAAAGACTAATAGAATTAAGAGGTGGCAGGGAACCCACCGTAGGGAAAAGAGCAAGAAAGACTGTTCTTTGAAAGTAAGGCCTCCTGACACCTGGCAAAGGTCAAACGGTTCAGGTGAAGAGGAAAGGGGTTCACAGAGGCCACACTGCTCGCATAATCAGAGCAACCCAAGCTCTTCCTTCCACGCTTGACCCGGCAGTTTGGTTGGGCAGCATCAGTGTCCGAACCTCTGAGAAGAGCAAGGTGTAAAGCCCAAATGTACGCACGCACCTGCACAAGCCAACACACACACACACACACACACACACACACACACACACACACACACTCACACACACACAAACCCTTTAAAGACTCCAGCTGCCCAGTGACACTAAGAACTCCTCTGGTCCTTAATACCTTAACCTGGGTTCCAAAGAAGCCTCCCTTGCATTCAAATGTACCAAACAAACAAACGCCTAAAGAGTAATTAAAACCTCCAGTCTTGTCAGTAAAGCCTCCCGCGATTGTTCCAAGCAGCGATCCCCGAGTTGGGCTGGGATGCGCAGGGTGGCTACTGGCCTGCTGGGTCCCCTGCAGAGTTACCATTCAGAAATCTGGCCCCATTGGCACAAGGACAAGGACCTGAACACAGCTGGGAAACCTCCCTGATCCCAGCTTTGTGTCTTCCACTGGTCACTTTCCCAGATCCAGAAGGAGGTTGCCTTGACCTGCCCTGCCCTGCCCTGCCCTGTCCAGCCCTGCCCTGCCCTGCCCATGCCGCCTTGCCCTGCCCTGCCTTGCCTGCCCTGCCCACCTGAGGCTCCACATGTAGCTGTGCTTGTAGGGGAAGTAGCTGCCCGGCTCGCTGCAGCAGTACTTGAGGTCTGCGAAGCCACAGCAGTAGAGCAGTGCGGCCCCGTCGCCACGCCGCGGGCACTGGAAGGACTCCACGAAGCTGCGGTTGAGGCTGTAGTAGCCCGAGCACAGGCGGCTGCTCTCGCTCATCGCGGGCGGCCTTGAGCAGGACCCCGAGGTGCGTGAAACGAGCGCTCAAAGTCCCAAGCCTGGGCGACCCCGAGCGCCTCCTGCAATCTAGGGTCCAAGTGCTGGGCGCTCAGCCTCCGCGCCCCCCTAGGCTCTCCTCCCGCTGTCCACGCGGTGCTGGAGAGCTCTGCCCTCGCTGCTGGGTCTCGTCTCTGAGTGGTCCCTTTTTCTGCGTGGCCCAGCCCTCTGCCTCTTCTCCCTCTCTCTCCGACTGTTTTCTTTGCTCGCCGCGGACTCCCTTCCGCTTGTATTCACTTCATCCACAGCCTGCAGTAATAACCACATCAGAAGACTCCCTTCAGAAGGAACAGCAGAGGTGGACATGGGTGCCGTTCACACAGGTGCAGCCAAAGAGTCATCTTGGTTTGCACCGTGCAAACAGGGTCTGGCTCACGGAGACTGTATCCGCGTTGACCATTGATCGAGGCAGGAAGGCAAGCTGAATACAAAAGCTTTCAACTAGCTTCACAGAGAGCATCGGGTGTTCAAAGTCAAGTAACAACATTCTTTCAAAACAAAACAAAACAAACTGCAGGTGTTTTAAACATATACAGTAGTGTTCCCATGTTCACCTAACCTACTTGGAAAAGGGAGGAAAGGCAAGAGATGGCAGAAAAGAGAGAGAGAGGCAGAGAGGGAAAGACTTTCAATCACTTCTGAAGCACAGAAGCCACTTTGCCTATGATTCTCATTTTCCTAAGTGATTTTTTTTTTCAGTCTTCTGAAATAACAGTAGTGATGTGTGCGTGCTGTAGCAAGCCAAACAACACTGAGGAGTATTAGGACAATAGCTTTGTTTTGAGGGTAGCGCTCACAGAATTTCCAGGACAGAGCATCCTTCCTTCTCAATTCCTGCGTCCGTCCTTCCTTCGGCCGGGGCCGTCATTGGAAGAAAGATGTCATGAACTGGTGTGCTGGATATTTCTGTATTCTTATAAATATTCCTAATCTCTGCTCTGGGATGCAGTTATTTGGAGTCAGTTTGATTCTTCCCAGTTTTTAAGCTTTGTTAAGCAGGACCAGCATGGACCTGAGGACTAAATTTTTCCCTTCTAAGAGCAGTACCTTCTGAATATTCTACCCCATACCCTGTGAATTTCAAAGCTTACCACTGCTGGCAAACCCCACTATCTCCGGATCCATAGGAACTAACTCTAAGGATTGCTCCCTCCACTCCTTTCAGTATTTCTTTTTTTGATTAATTAAGTAATTTTTTACTAATTGCAGTTTATTCACTTTGTATCACAGCTGTAGCCTACTCCCTCGACCCCTACCCTCCCATCCCAGTCCTACCCTACCTCCCTATCTCCTCCCATGCCCCTTCCCAAGGCCACTGATAGGGGAAATTCTCCTCCCTTTCCCTCTGACCCTAGCCTATCAGGACTCATCAGGACTGGCTGCAATGTCTTCCTCTGTGGTCTGGTAAGGCTGCTCTCCCCTCAGGGGGAGGTGATCAAAGAGCCAGCCACTGAGTTCATGTCAGACACAGTCCCTGTTCCCATTACTAGGGAACCCACTTGGACACTGAGCTGCCATGGGCTACATCTGTGCAGGGATTCTAGGTTATAGCCATGCATGGTCCTTGGTCTCAGAAAAAGACCCCTGTGCCCAGACTTTTTGGTTCTGTTGCTCTCCTTGTGGAGCTTCAGTCCCCTCCAGGTCTTTCTATCTCCCCCTTCTTTCATAAGATTGACTGCACTCTGCCCAAACTTTGGCTATGAGTTTCAGCATCTGCTTTGATACCCTGCTGAGTAGAGTCTTTCAGAGGCCCTCTGTGGTAGGCTCCTGTCCTGTTCCTTGTTTTCTCCTTCTTCAAATGTTTGTCCCATTTGCCTTTCTGAGTTAGGATTGATCATCTTGCCCAGGGTCCTCCTTTTTGCTTAACTTCTTTAGATGTACAGATTTTAGCATGTTTATCCTATATTCTGTGTCTAATATTCACTTATAAGTGAATATATACCGTGTGTGTCTTTCTGCTTCTGGGAGACCTCACTCAGGATGATCTTTTCTAGTTCCCACCCTTTGCCTGCAAATTTCATGATTTCCTTGTTTTTAATTGCTGAGTAGTATTCCATTGTGTAAATGTGCCACAATTTCTGTATCCATTCCTCCATTTAGAGACATCTAGATTGTTTCCAGATTCTGGCTATTACGAATAAAGCTGCTATGAACATAGTTGAGCAAATGTCCTTGTTGAATGGTTGAGCATCTTTAGGATATATGCTCAGGAGTGGTATAGCTGGATCTTGAGGTAGCACTATTTCTAATTGTCTGAGAAAGTGCCAAATTGATTTCCAAAGTGGTTGTACAAGTTTACATTTCCACCAGCAGTGGAGGAGGGTTCCCCTTTCTCCACATCCTCTCCAGCATGTGCTGTCACTTGAGTTTTTTTTTTTTTTTTTTATCTTAACCATTCTGATGAGTGTAAGATGAAACCTCTGGGTTGTTTTGATTTGCATTTCCCTGATGACTAAGGAAGTTGAGCATTTCTTTAAGTGTTTCTCTGCCATTTGATATTCCTCTGTTGAGAATTCTCTGTTTAGTTCTGTACCTCATTTTTTAATTGGATTACTTGATTTGTTGCTTTTTAACTTCTTGAGTTCTTTATATATTCTGGATATCAGTCCTCTGTCAGATATAGGGTTGGTGAAAATCCTTTCCCAGTCTGTAGACTGTCATTTTGTTCTGATGACAGTGATTTTTGCTTTACAGAAGCTTTTCAGTTTCATGAGGTCCCACTTATTGATTGTTGACCTTGGAGCCTGTGCTGTTGGTGTTCTGTTCAGGAAGTTGTCTCCTGTGCCAATGAGTTCAAGGCTCTTCCCCACAGATCATCTGGAGGTATCTTCATCCCTGATCTCAACTGGTACTACAGAGCAAAATTGCATGGTACTGGCATAGAAACTGAATGGTGGATCAATGGAATCAGGTAAAAGACCCAGAAATAAATCCTTCAGATACTTGATTTTTGACAAAGAAGCTGAAATTATACAATGGAAAAAAGACAGTATCTTCAAAAAATGGTGCTAGTCTAACTGGATGTCTACATGTAGAAAAATGCAAATAGATCCATATTTATCACTCTGCAAAAACTAAAGTCTAAGTGGATCAAAGATCTCAACATAAAACCAGAAACAATAAATCTGTCAGCATTTCTTTTCCCAGCCTCGTAGCTTCCTTCCAGATATACACAGACCAGAACTAAGCTGAAGACTCTTGTGGCCTCAAAGCTAGACTACAAGCTCTTCCCTGTCACCCCAATTTTCTCCTCTCTGAAACTGTGTTCTGAAACCACCCATGGCTCTTCTGGATTCTCAGCTCCAGAATCTCAATTCAGAACCCACTGGGCTCCACCTGAATACTCCCTCCCTGCACTGTAGCTATGCTTTTCAGGGCAGGGGTGTTTCCCACAAGGCCTTCTTCACCATTTTCCTTCTCAGATACCACCATCTGGTATTATGTAATATCTATGGCCAGAACCCATTGTGTTGTATTTTTGTTTGTTTTGTTGTGTAGGGAAGGGAACTAAATCTGGTTCCTAGCATGCCACAGGCTCAGCCAGAGATTGGACCAGAGTTAGTTAGGACCAGGGTTGATCTCATAGAACTAAAATTCCATCATGTATACAGGAAGGCAAAAGAAGGTAGTGAACGAGGGAGGGGAGTAATAAACAAGGGTTTGACAAAGTGTTGATGGTTTCATGAGATTTTTGTTTGAGTTCTTTCCTGCACCATGTCATTTCCTTCCTACTCTTGAGTTTTGTGGGACCCCTGTTACTCAAGAGTGAGTGTTCTTTACTGGCGAATGTGCCTTCAAATTATTTTAGTTTTGAGACCGGTTTTAGTTGGCTTTGAACTTACTATGTAGTCTAGGATAACTTTGACCTTCTGATGCTCTTGTCTTCAGCTCCTCAGTGTTGGGATTACAGGTATGCACTTTTATGAATACAGAGCTTCCCAAATGCTAGGCAAGCACGCTACCAACTGAGTTGCATCCAAAACCCTCGAGTTAATTTCTAGTACACACACCACACCACACCACACCACACCACACCACACCATTTCAGTCAATGTTGGACCACATATACAGGAGGTAGGGAGAGTCCCATGCAATTTTATTGCCTGGTGACATTATAACAATCTTAGTTTGTGTAAATACACTCTATAACATTCACAACAAAGTCAATTAATAAGGACTCCCAGAACATGCCATTGGTGAATGGATTGGTAACTGTTGATACAATAAAAAAAGTTTCTGCCTCACACAGGACATTTTCAGGGGAAAACCATTCTTCTATTGAGAATTCTCTGTTTAGCTCTATACTCCATTTTTAAATTGGATTACTTGGTTTGCTGGTGTTTAACTTCTTGAGTTCTTTATATGTTCTGGATATTAGCCCTCAGTCAGATACAAAGTTGGTGAAGCTCTTTTCCCAGTTTGTAGACTGTCATTTTGTTCTGTCGACAGTGTCCTTTGCTTTACAGAAGATTTTCATTTTCGTGAAGTCCTGTTTATTGCTTGTTGATCTTAGAGTCTGTGCTGCTGATGTTCTGTTCAGGAAATTATCTCCTGTGCCAATGAGTGCAAGGCTCTTCCCCACTTTTCTAGCGAATTTAGTGTGTCTAGTTTTATGTTGAGGTCTTCGATACACTTAGACTTTAGTTTTGTGCAGGATAATAAATATAGATCTATTTGCACTTTCTACATGTAGACATCCAGTTAGACCAGCACCATTTGTTAAAGATGCTATTTTTTTTCCATTGTATTGTTTTGGTTTCTTTGTCAATGAAATTTGCAGGCATATGGGTAGAACTAGAAAAGATCATCCCTAGTGAGGTAACCTAGAAGCAGAAAGACACACAAAGTATATACTCACTTATAAGTGGATATTAGCCATATAATATACGATAAGCATACTAAAATCCTTAGTCTTAAAGAACCTAAACAACAAGGAGGACCCTAGGGAAGATGATTAATCATCATTCAGAGGGACAAACATTGGAAGCAGAAGACAGGAAACAGAACAGGAGCCTATCACAGAGGGGCTCTGGAAGACTCTACCCAGTGGGGCATTGAAGCAGATACTGAGACTCATAGTCAAACTTTGGGCAGAGTGCTGAGAATCTTATGGAAGAAGAGTGGATTAGAAAGACCTGGAGGGGGCAGGAACATCATAAAGAGACTAACAGAACCTAAAAATATTTGGGCCCAGGGTGCCCTTCAGAGACCAAGGACCATGCATGGAGAGGACCTTGACCTCCTGCTCAGACATAGACCATAGGCAGCTCAGTCTCCATGTGGGTTCCCTAGCAAGGGAATCAGGGGC